TAAGAGAAAAACAAATATCATTTTGCATGTTCAAATGATGACATGTAGTATAATATTAAGTATGAATCTAAAGAGTGATTAAATGCACTTCTGATTTACATTTTCAGCCTTTGTTACTGGCAGTGATATATACAAAACAGGTACATGTCTTTTAATGTTCAGTAGAAATAAGCAAACTATAAACTGAGAACGGATTATTAAATTTATCCTATATTAATTACTGTATGTTACTTAAATTTGGCGTTAACTTAAATTTAGAGGGTTTACCTTTTTAAATTATTCGCGTTTTGGTTAACCGCCTGTAACGAAAGCATGCAATTGGTTACATCAAGCCTGTCCTTTCCCTAAACCTACAGGTATTTGTTTTACAGGTATTAATCAGTGGCAGAAAAGGAACCATGTGGTCAACCCTAGTACGATAAAGAAGTCCACCCTTCATGTCTAGCAATTGCATATATGGTTATACATTGTAAAGATGGGGAATGCTTTTTTTTCATTTCAGGATTAAATGAATTTGTTATAGATTTGAGATTTTACGACCTCGCAACAGCTGGGGTTCATATAAAGACGGTGACATATTTTACAACGTCATATTGTTTTGACAATAGGCTAACTAGTAGGCCAATTCAGAGCAGTAAATATCATTGTTTGGAAGTTCATATGTCCGGGTCACGGGACAGATACCATAACCGTCATTGCATGGGCGAACGCTCAAGATCAAAGTCAAACGCAAGGCATTGCCATGAAAGGCGTAATGAAACGAAATGTAGTTCTGAAGAAGAAAGAAAATATCAAGATCCTAAATGTTGCAAAGGATGAAGACTTGATTGCTAATTTGCTCCTTTCTTTTGCACGAACATGCTCCTAAATTCATGCAGAGGTTCCCAACATTAGCCGCCTCCGTCACTGTTTAACGTGTTCATGAAATTATTTGGAAAAATGACGTGTAAGTAATTAGAAAAATAAAATATTAAAGACATTTAGTTTTAAACGTCAGTTTGTTTCCAAGTAAATATTGTTTGTCGCCTTTATTAGATCGAATGCTGTATTAATGATTAATAATATAAAATGTTTGGTTTATTGTAGGTCCAGCCTTTTAGGTGTATAAAAACTAAGGTCACAAAGGACGGCATCCATTTGCAATGAGGTCAGTCAAGGGTCAAATTATGAGCATATCACAAGTAGCAATGACCCTGCAGTTAGGGCGTAAGAATTGTACCTGCTGCCCCCAATTGCATGATCGTAAGAGGCGACTAAATTTGGGACCTTATCTCTTCTCGTCTTTCTAAATAACTTTCTTCTTCCTAATGTCTCCCTTGACAATGCCTCACTTTTGGCCATTTGTTNAGTTTGTTTGTTTGTTTGTTTGATTTTGTTTAACGTCCTATTAACAGCTAAGGTCATTTAAGGACGGCCTCCCCTGTGTGCAAGATGCATGCGTGTAGTGTATGTGTGTGTATTTTGGCATTAGGAGTGGGACGACTGGTTCGCCCGTTGTCAGTATAATGTGACCGGGTGGGGCGTCCTGCTAGGTGTCTTCGGCAGTATGTTTCAGTGGGGTAGCACTATAAAGTCGGCATCAGTTCCGCGCTATCACAAGGAGACAAACACGAACATATCGCAGCCTCCCAAAATACATACACATACACTACACGCATGCATCTTGCACACATGGGAGGCCGTCCTTAAATGACCTTAGCTGTTAATAGGACGTTAAACAAAATCAAACAAACAAACAAACAAGCTTAGAACACCGTACCAACGAAAAAGGGAAAATGTTACCTTTAGATTAATAACCGCCATACAGCTTGCAGTTCAATCAGAACAAATGTAGAAAGCATGTATAATTACATTCTCTAATTTGACAGGAATCGCGGCTTTATCCATGACGTCTTTTTTTTTCATATGTGTTCCATATACGAAATCCTTTTGCATAAAAACAAATATTTAAAAAGAATCGATACCTTTAGGGTTTTATCAAACATTTTCCGGCGGTTGTTGACAGGATCCTACTTTGTCATAGATTACATATCAGAGAAGTCGGCAGCTTTACTGTTATCAATAATATGACCGCGAGACGTTGGAGATTTACATAAAGATGTTTGTAGATGTCCTAGTTCAAGCCACGTGATGGCGTACAGGGACTCACAAAATACAACTAGATATCAATTGTAGGTTATCATAGGAAAATTGGCGTTTTAGAAGATAAACAGTCCAGAAACGTTATTTATTGTAGATCTGGTAACGATGTACGATTTATACTTTATTTTGTTAGTGATTTTATTGTAGATTGATGGAGCAAAACGATTTTAGGACATTTTTCCCGTGATTTATGTCAACATGCCTCATGTTGCTTTAACATCTGATATTCTTTTATTTATATGTTTAACATTTATCATTTTGGCACATATCTGGTATACTTCACTGAGTATATATATATTTTGCGTAGTAGATTTAAAGTATCTAAGGCATACTTAAGTTAAACATAACATTTATCATCTATATACTACTTTATACCACCTACCGGTAGCATGATCAATTCATTATCAGTAGTCCTATGTTTAACGTGTTCATGAAAACATTTGGAAAAAAATGATATGTAAATAATTAGAAAAATAAAATATTAAAGACATTTAGTTTTGACCGTCAGTTTGTTTCCAAGTAAATATTGTTTGTCGCCTTTATTAGATCGAATGTTGTATTAATGATTAATAATATAAAATGTTTGGTTTATTGTAGGTCTAGCCTTTTAGGTGTATAAAAACTAAGGTCACAAAGGACGGCATCCATTTGCAATGAGGTCAGTCAATGGTCAAATTATGAGCATATCGCAAGTAGCTTGGAACACCGTACCAACGAAAAGAGGAAAGTGTTACCTTTGGATCAACAACCGCCATATAGCTTGCAGTTCAATCAAAACAAATGTAGAAAGCATGTATAATTACATTCTCTAATTTGACAGGAATCTCGGCTATATCTTTGTTTTTCAATGAGGAGTGGTTCCTACCAACGTTAAGTTAGCTTGGCAGTATAAAGTAATCGGACGAAATACTATCCTCCTAAGTTAGATGTATGCCTTTTTTCGAACGTCTATTTTAGTGTTGTTTGGCCCTAGCTGTTCTTTTTACATTGATTTCCATATACGATATATAGACATGAAGATGATATAACATTGAGTTATTATTGATGTCTGAACATACCTGGAAGTTTTCATATGTTTTTTGTTCCATATACGAAATCCTTTTGCATAAAAACAAATATTTGAAAAAAACTCGATATCTTTGAGGTTTTGCCAAACATTTTCCGGCGGTTGTTGACAGGATCCTACTTTGTCATAGATTACATATCAGAGTAAGTCAGCAGCTTAACTGTTATCAATAATATGACTGCGAGACGTTGGAGATTTACATTAAGATGTTTGTAGATGTCCTAGTTTAAGCCACGTGATGGCGTACAGGCCCCGGTTTCATCAACGTTCCTTAACTTTAAGGAGCTCCTTAAACCGGCTTTTTCCTTAAATATAAGGCGATTCCTTAACTTAAATAAAATTGCGTTTCATGAAGCTTCCTTAACTTAAATCCTTCCTTAAATTTAAGGAATCCCTTAAATATTTAAGGCCACATCAACCCAGCCTTAAATCGCTAAGGAGCTCCTTAAATCAACAAAGATGGCCGCCATGTATTCGAGTTTGATGAAGACGGCATTGAAGAATTTGACAAAGATTAAGTTAGGAGGTTGAAAACCAGCTTTCCGACTAACGTTTCGGTCCATTTCACTTTGTTGACAAAGTTATGTCCGGAAATTCACCATTCTATGGTAGATTACTGTTCGTAGAACAATAATATCGCACGTGGCATTTATTTGTTTGCTGCAGTACGCCTATTTCATTTTGTATTTTGACATTTTCGGGGTACCTTTCTGTAATCACGCGAGTCGTTGTGAGGCCAAACATTATAATTCTTGTGCATAATAAGTAATGTTGTGTTCCCGTCAGTTCATCGTGGTCTCTGTATATTCGAAGCCTAAATAAACAACGGTTTCTAATATTTTGTTGGACAAATTCGTCTGCTCTTGTCTACATAAAACCTTCTTCCGGTACTAACGTAGTACTAAATACAATGCCTCACCCATATAGCAACATGGAACGGCAGATAAAAGTTACCTACGTGCATCGTGGAGCGCCCTTATTATGTAAATGATTGGGGTGGAAAAGAAGAAGAAAACACACACACATCCAAAACAGACACCTAAGAAAGCTGAACATAGCACAAGCAAATACAGTGCTTCCATAATCATGAACCATTTATTTTTGTACTTTGCATTTTCAACAAAGGTCAAATACTTAAATCTTGCATGCTATCGTAGAACAAATTTATAACATTAATTTTAACAAATACTTATTTTCATAAATAAAAATATAATATAACTATGTAGGAATGTCACAATTCATATCTATCCTGTCTTTGGTGTAACTGCTACATTGAACTTGAGGTAAATGAAAATAATATTACCCAATGTTGAAGTATTACATGTAATTGGTTAAACCAAATGTCAGGTACATTGAGTGACAATAACTGATTAATGAGTTTTATGAATTGGAATATACAGGGATAATCCTGGAAGGTCATGGGGCAATTGACCTCTCAAAACAGAAATTGACCCCTCCATGTTCAAATGTTCTTTTAAGTTTACATATAATGGCCCTTCTTTAAAGTTTGATATTGACTAAAAATTGCTGAAAATGGCCCACTGCTTTCAAATTTCAGGATTTTCTCCTGATATATGGATTTTAAAATAAAGATAAGACACTAGACCTCCTGTATCAAAACATTGCGATGAGACCAGAGTAAAGTTTTAATGCAATGTTTCTTTTTCCTCTCTTCTTCACATTTCGAATTAACCTTTTTGGCAGATATGTCTAATCCACTGTGTGATCCATTTATTCATAATTTCTGCAGCATAGTATTTGCAAAAATTGATAAAATCACAAAACACACAGCAAGTGAAAACATTTATTAATCTAACTGTAAAAAAGCACCATAACAATTTGTAACTTGTTTTCTTTAAAGACAAACATTTTCCTCACATCAAAGACAACATTGATTGTCTTGGTTTAAGCTGTGTTACACAAATTGAAAATGACCATTGGGTTAAACTGTCTAATGTTAGTTTTGACACCAATTTTTGGAGTGTATGGGAAATTCCATTTGTTGTCTATCCATGCGAAGCAGGATTTCAGGATCTGAAAAAAATAGGTTAAAAAAGTATATTTATAACATTAATTAGCTGTATAATTTAAAGAATTATTCACTATATGAAAGTATATACATATGTATACTTCACTACAGTGAAGAGTAACAAAACTTTTCTTTCCACTGTTAAATGTTCAACACATTCTTGGATTTAAACCTGTATATACACAAACATAGAATAGATGTACAATGGAAGGTTATATTATAATGTATAATGAGAAACAATCAAGAGTCTTTGTAAATTACTGGTCTCTTTTTAGATTTTCCACTGAACTACATATATATATGTTAAAAAAGAATGCTGTTGTCGATGTACAAGAAATTTTGTAGTCCCACCCATACATTCTCCTGAGGGACAACTCAAAAAATAAAAAGGTTACAGAATGAAAAAGTATACGAATTCCAACAATCTATTTGCCTTGCATGTGTAATAAAAATATGTAACAAATTTCAAATTATGCATATGTACATGTATGTCAGGGATCAATCTAGGTTTAAGGGGAAATTACCCTTTTTCAGATTTGGGGGAAATTAAAATCTTGATACAAGGTTCTAGCGTCATGAAGGTAAAAGATAAATGTTTTGTCCGACATACATGTGTGCAGTATATTTCAATTTTTAAACAATTTTAAGCTTCAAATTGTAGAATTTTTGTTTAAATTATGTGGAGAAAATGTATATATGCAGTATTATGCATTTTAACTGTTGAACTTTAAAGAAAACATATATAGGGGAAATATTTTGAAGAAAAACAGCTATTTTCTTGTTGAAATAGGGGAATTTTGAAGCACACAGGGGGAATTTCAAAGAACAGGGGAATTTTCTTCTGTAGGGGAAACTACCCGTAAACAGTAGAGAATCAAGTCTAAATTGATCCCTGTATGTAAAATGTTCCTTAAAAAGAATTGGTTTCACAGTGTGTTTGGTATCTGCTATATTCATTTTCACACCTAACCTCCTCCATCCCAGGTCTGTCCCTGTTACACACTTAATGTGTGTCAGAGTGTATAAATAAACCTTAAAACCTTCAGTGATTACATAACAGTGACTGCCCTACAGTACTGTGGGGTGGGGTTGACCTACACCACCACATTTGTAGTGGGCACTTCACCACATACAGATATTTCTTTACTGAAAACAATTATATACCACAAATTTGAAAAAGTAAATGTGAAGGGTTTTGTATAGAACAAAGACAATAATACATTTGACAAATACAACACATTAGCCAAGAACCATCATATACAGTGTATAGTATATACATGCTTACAGTGTACATGCCAGCATGTTGCTTTGTATAGGAATAATATATTCAAATTCAATTATGCATCTTTATTGCATAATGTAATTTTCCTACTTAATAACTTCATTCATTTTTAATGATGTGCTTTTGTTCTGTATTTGTTTGCCTCTCAACAGAAATGAAAAACCTGTCTGTAGAAGTCATATCTCAATTGGTAAGATATCAAATAACAGTTTTGAGGTACATGTAGCTATACAGATGATTACAGATCTATGAAGAGTGTTCTGTATCAATTTGTATATATTATACTTTAGAGTTATTAATTAATATTTTACCACTGGAAAGTTTTTAAATCTGAACACAAATTGATTTGGAGAATTCCATAAATATCTTGAAACTTTCTCTCCTCTTCCTCTATATAACACAAAATGCAATGCTAACAGCTCGGAATGAATATTCATCATAGCTTCTTTCTTTAACAGAAAGCTATTAACATATGAAAACATTTTAGGTGTGTATAGCAAATTAGCAATCCTTTAAAAAGGAAAATCTTAGGAGTTTTCAACAGAATTACATTGGTAAGCAATATTGACAAATGAATTTTGTTTAAACAAATTTAGTCTGGTTGTCAAAAAAATATTTTTTTATAAGTTTTTATCCATACTTGATGTAAACAGGGATTTTTTCTCTCTTTTGGTTCAGACCCTGGAAGTCATATATTTTTAAAATTAAAAACACTATAAATAAATTTCAAAGTTTGATAAATTAATGAATTATTTGATGAAATATTGATTAATTCTCATGTTAATATTTAAAAGTATGGAATTTTCCACTTTGGTTTAAAATTGAGCATTTTAAAACAGTGAATTTGCTAAACCATTTTTAACAGGTGAAATTTTCCCTGGGATTTATATACACACCTTTTATATATTCATTTTTTTAAATTCTTATTTAAATAAGTCTGGGCTCCCGTTCACAGAGAGCAAACAGTAATCGTGTAAAGGATGTGATCAGTGACTAAAAACACATTTTACATATTGTCTGTAGGCCTACAACGTCACACTACTGTATGTAAACTGATCTATTTATAGAACAAGTGATGACTCGGTATGTGTTATTAGTAAACTTATATAGTAAAAACAATACGTCCTAGACAAAAGTAGTTGGTATTTTTCATCTCTGCTACCCGGACATTAATCGGATATTAATGAGTAAGCTAGGCCACAATAACGTAAAAGCAAATAACTTACGCATTCAAAGTGTTGGACTACAGTACATGTTAGCTATAGGTACGCAATATGCAGCTGATATGTAATCTTGTCGTCTGGATGTTCCGCTTGAATTTGCCGATTAAATCGTCTTCTCATCGGGATATATCAAGATGGACAACCATATTTATTGAGGAAGAAGTGTAACCTATCTCCCTTTTCAGGATCTAAAAGATGTTTCAGGAAACAAAAGAAGAAACAGGTGGGGAAATCCGCGAAAAGACATCGTTTGTTTACATTGTTTTCCTGTAGTTTCTGCCAAAAGAGTTCCATTAAGGCCGCTTAGGCTGCGAAAAAGTTAAGGAAATTTTCCTTAGCTAAGAAGCTCCTTAGTTAAGTTAAGGAACGTTCATGAAACGCATTTTTCGGAAAACCTTAGCTAAGGAATTCCTTAGCGATTTTAAGTTAAGGAAACATTTAAGTTAAGGAACGTTGATGAAACTGGGGCCAGGGACTCGCAAAATATCGGTAACATGATACATTCATTATCATTGATTGTCAGTATAAGAAGAAGTTGAGACGACCTGAGAACAACTTGAGAAGAATTTGAGAACGGATTTGCTCTTACACTAGACAGGTGTATCCGCACTTTTACCAGTGTGAGGTTCCCTTGTCTCACCCTAGGGATGAGCCGGGGAGATTCTCCTATTCATAATCATGGTATGACGTCAATTCAACAATACAATGACGTCACGTCAACAATCAATCAACGTCACGTCAACCTTGAATTTAGCCTGTAACGTTATCATTACATTGGGAAAACTGGGTAAGAGAAAAAGAAGAGAAAAAGAATCATTCACTCTCTTGTGAGCAAGATAGGGGGATCTCAACCCCCGGGGAAAGATTCTTAAGTTGCCAAACACTCGGCAACATAAGAATCTTCCCCCTCGGGTTGAGATTCTCCTATATCACCCCTAAGAATATATTATTCCCATTCCCCAGCACGTGGGAACGTATTTTCTCAAAAAAGAAAGGAAGCTTGCGCCAGATGAGGTCCGAAATCGCAAATAGTGTCCACACAAAAGTGATTCGCGTAAGAAAATAGTCCGTCATAAACATATCAATACAATGTTACGGGAAAATGTTGTAAGAATAACAACACCACTTCAGGTGCAAATGTGCGTATGAAAAAGCCATTGACAATAGGATTGTTTAAAAAGAAATATCAACGTAGCTTTAAGGTTCATTGTATTCCTCCGCGCAAAACTTCCATTTATTTACGTTTGTCACAGGCGATCGTTAACAATTGAGCTTATAAGTCATATGGAAAACATGGTGTTTAGTTGAGTTTTTTAAAAGGAGAAATATGTAAGGTAGTAGTATATAGATGATAAAAAGTTTATCATACAGTATTTTCAGTGTTTGTTTCAAGACCACCTGCGGTGTATCCGAGTGCTCGCGATTAGAAAATTGTTGTAACGACAAACACTGAAAATACAGTGTTATAATCTATAAGTATCTTAGCGTAAACACACATGGACAACAAATGGAGATCAACGTCGACATACATACGAACCCGTAACGAGAGACCCAATTTAAGCAACGAGAGCTCTGTTATCAATAATTTAATTCAATTCATGTATTGACTTTAAGCTTTTCAGCTCATCAATAAACATATAAACATCTGTGCGCACGATGAACGAACGTTGTGCGATAACAATCGTGGTTGGTGCAAATTGAGGAATGTCTTAACAATAAATACGGTTTCGTGTTTTACATTAATGTAACATATAAACTTGATTTTGTACGTATGTTTCTATATTCTAGCTACATCTATAAGCTTATCTTTCTGTCTATACATTCTTATGTTTAGAAATAGTGTTTTCGGTGTTTTTAAACAACTTTAATCGACACATGTAAAATTACAACACAGTCCAGTATACAGGTAAACATAACCCATTTGTCCATGTACCTGGACCGTAGTTTTCCCCCGCCCGGGGCACTTACGTAACTCGTCGGGAAAGGCCAGGGGTGTGAAAACCCAGGTAAAGGGGAGCCATATGGAAACGAATTCAAATATTAAATACTATTCAAAACGTTCATACGATATCGCATATCAGCTCTGTGTGTCAGGCACAGGTCAGGTAAAACTCCGGTCACTCATCAAATTGGTATTAACCTGTTCTGTTACCTTGGATCCAAACCCATTCTTTACAGCCTAACGGTCCCTGTAATACTGTGTAAGACGCATGGTAAAATTGTACATAATATTGATTATTGTGATGAGAAATTACAGTAATATATTTACATTCTGTGTCGCATTTGCCTATATATTTTTAGTAGACCAAATTCCAGTGTATGAGACTGTATACTGCAATTTACAGTGATTCGGTCAGTGTATGAATACAGCTCCAGGTGTCCTAGGTAAAAAAAACATGGCCACCAGATACTTTCGGTATCAATAGGCCTATAGTCAGAGAACTTTCTGGGTTCGTTAGCATTTAGCAATGTAGGTCATCGCAAAAACATAAAGCAACTTGACAAATTATGACAATATAAATTTATCATAAGATGTGTAGGTACCACAAAATTATTGTAAGCGCCATTCTAGATACAAAATTACAAAGTTAGTCAATATCATCACACAGGGGCTCGGTTTCGAGATTTTGAGTTATGCATAACATCATTGAATTTATAAAACCTTGTAAAAGTCGAGGGTATCGACAAGGTTTTAGAATGTGTATAAATACCTTTTTAAGTGTTGTGGTTCTTCAGTGATGTCATCCATTACTCAAAGTCACGAAACCGTGCCCCTGTGAACGTCGTCTGCTAGCGATGCTAAGCTGACCGATTAGACATGGAATCTGTTTCAAACGAAATGTCCTGCGAATCGTTATCACCTACTGAAATGACCACTTTAATTTAAAACTTTCCCAGTATATATGCTTCTGAAAATAACGTAATATTCCAGTCGATGGAAACATAAGCGAGTCCGTTAAGCACCGCATCACTTCCAAATACATGTAATCTATCAATGCGCGAAAAACAGCTTTAGTTTTAAACAAGCAGAAGTTATGCAATTATTAACAGTTTGGGATTTGAACTTACTGACGTAACTGCTATGATAAGCGGGAAATTCAAACGTATTTTTGCTTCAGTTACTATACAAAACAAACTTTATAAATGTAAACATAAGCATTGAACTGTTACCAGATGCAGTATACAGTCGATATGAATGCAATTTAGGTGACAGATAAATAGAATGTCACCTTTTAGGGCGAAATGAATACTTATCTGTATCTGGTAACAGTTCAATGCTTAAATATACAGTGTACATTATTGCCTACGAGTTTTCCGTATTTTGTCATTCCGTAATATTGATATACAAATTGTACCAAATCGCATAGTTGTGCGGAGAGAAGCGCACAACGGGGCAAACGATTGTTAAATCGCACAGTTGTGCGCACCATGTGTTGACGATGTGCGGACGGTGTTTGAACGATGTATGCACGTTGTGCGCACGCTATTTTTGGTGCGTTGTGCGGTCACACAACTGTATGTACATAATAGTTTAATCAACTTGAAAACAGATGGGTTTTCCCAGTAGTACATTTTTATACGTCTCTAACTTAGAACTTGATAACTTGGACAAATTAAAAAAGTTTTCATCTTCGATATCTTTAGACTCCTCCAAAGACGTTCATTTCTAACAATATTTCGATAACGTCCTGTTTCAGTATGCAACGTATGTGTTGATAAACGTTTCCTAGTCAGTGCAATTCTATTTTGCTCTGGGATACATTTTCATAAATAATGTTAATATGTTAAACTATCAACTAAATGTCTATACAAATGACATTTCGAGGAGTTCTCTAAGAATTCAAACATGTCCTGCCGTGCGTTATACACCTAAGTTACAAACCGTGACGGCACTAATGACATTTGAATTGTAAACTGTATCTTCTCGGCATGTAAACGTGTTGTGATATCTCAGCATTTGAAATGAGATAAACAGTAAATAGAGAATATTACATGTTAAAATCCATATCACATGGCATATCAACCCGAGGATCCAATATCAGACCGAGGGCTTTAACCCAAGATCTGATATTGCTCGAGGGCTGCTATATATTTTACCATGTTTTATTCTATTTATCATGTACTTCGATCAACACTGAAAGTTAGGTTCAACACAAATGTAATAAAATAAAAAACTTTGGTGATAATAAACAGATCTTGATACCGATAACTTGGCAAGGTTAATATAATCATAGTACTGTATGTTAATAATTTTCCTTTTATTCAATTGGAATAAGAGTCACTGTAAATGATGCGTACTCTTTTTCTGTTGCTGGTAAGGTCAACTGTTCCACAGGGTTGATTTTCTGGTCCCGAGGGAAATTTTCTTTGTAATAAGGTCCCCGAGCTCCGGTATCCGATTTCACGTCTAATGGTAGGACGCCGGGCTCGTGACCAAAGGGTTGCGGGTTCGAGTCACGGCACGGTATTGTGTTGTATCTTTGAGCAAGATACATTACTCCGCTTGTTACAGTCTACTCAGCTGTAAATGAGCTCAACTAGAATTGTAGAATGCAAGTTGTGAGCGCCGAAATGGCAGCAACGGCTATATGCTCCCCAGGGAGTTGAGAGCAAGATAGTGGCTGGTTGCAAAGGCCCAATAACCACGGATAATAATTTGTGAACCGCTTTGAGACGACCTACGAACTAGGTTGTGATAAAGCGATAAATAAGAACCTCGAATTATCATTATTATTATTATAAATGAATTTAGAATTATGTCACCTTCAGTTTCTTGACCTGACATCATAAGTGACAGTCGTATCTAATGTGAACAAATCAGTGGTAGTCTGCTGCGCTAATAACTCTAGAGGTGTTCCGAACTTGAAAAGTTCCGAAAGTAGGACGTTATAGAGATTGTAAAATCTGACCGTGAAAACTGATGGTATGCTGTGTCGATAAATATTAAATCATAACACGCATTTGATAATGTTAATATATCAATATAGACTGCAATATTAACTTTCAGATATATTTTGCTGTTTAAATATTACTTATAA